GACCTTGTGTGCGTGTAGCTGCCGAGCACTCTGCATTGTGCAAATGATGAAAAAGTAAATACCGTGAAAGTGAACAAGTTTTCTTCTTCTGAGATGGTAGGAGACCATGTGGAATTCTTCATCATTTTTTTTCTAATATGCTCAGCAAGACATTGCTCTCATATGTTCCATAACACGTATGACATCTGTCAAGAGCAGGGACATCACATGTTTTCTTGGGTGATGTCTTTGCTGGGTTTCCAATGAATGCAGCCACAGCTGTTTGTTCATAGCAATGATTCAAGAAATGTGACTTCTACTGAGAGTGAAGTTCTTTCAAATTTGGGTTGTTTTTTTCTGGGTCTGCACAGAGGTTCCACCTTGTTGCCTACCTTAAGGAACCCTCCAAAATTCAGTTATTGCTTCATCAGTGCACAGACCCATAGATGTAAGATAAATTTCCAGGAAGCCTTATTGTGGGCAGCTCACCCATCACTCCACCACACTCGGGATCTCTAACCTCCCAATAAACCATGTTGCAGGTGGTCTCAGGTCCAGGCAGGCTGGTGAACTCCGCAATTCTTCATGAAGAAGGTACCGCTGTGCTGAACCTCAGTTTTAGGTCTTACGGCTGCGTAAGAGCGCTTCTTACCTTCAGTAATACTCATGTAGTAGCTATATATATAGTAGCAACTAGTATGTTTTCAAAGAGTTAATAAAAAGACTCATAAACTCTTATCCCAAATGTTGAGCCTTTGAAGTCTTTATTCTGAAAGCGTTTCGTGTCCTGATGTAACTGCCTGTCCTCAGGGATATTGCATTATACCACAAGATCAGCAATCTAGACCCGATTTCATCATTCTCTCATGTTAAAAGCAGTTTCTGAGGAATAATAAAATGTTAAATAATAAATGTGCATCGTTTTCTGTGGCACATGGTTTTCTGTGGTGAGCCATGATGATAGAAAAAGGGACACGGAATGAGGAGTGGGAATTTTTATTGTTGAGTATCACACAGATGCAACACCCCAGCTATGCGCTGGCACTCCCAAACCCAGGGCCATACTTGCTTTTCTGTGAGCACGTGTGCTACTTGAGTCCTAGTCCTTGTCCCACTTCACCCATTGAATTGATCTCACAAAAATAAAAACCTAATAATTTTCTTTGGTTAACAAGTGCTGCTGCTACCCCCTAGTTTTAGAATTGGATGTATACATATATAAATATATATATATATTGCCCAGAATATAAGGTTTAGCAAAACTTGTGAACAGCTTGTGTAGCAGAGCTCATCTTCAAGGAACGTGGGCATCTGGAATCATAGTAAGGCACCAACAGACCCAGAATGATCCTGAGGTTGAAAAAACACCACAACCAAACACCAGAACCCCACTACTTTCTTTAAATAGGAGGGAGATTTATTCAAATTCATACATATAAAATATTAAAGCTTAGGAGTCAGACCCCACGCCCTCTAAAGAAATAGGGCCGCTGTGTTGGGATGTAGGCTGCTTGGGATCGCAGCTTTTGAGGGATCTGTCAGCCAATTCAGCATGCTCTCATTCCAGAGGGATGCCACCGGAATGAGCGGCGTCGTGCTCCTGCTGGAGACACCTGAACAAGCTAAAGATTAAGAGCGTGCAGGCTGGCTCCCTTGAAGAGGCGAAGCATTATTTTAATAAATGGCTGAAGTATCCTGGGTAACGGGTGTAAGTTGAAACACAGGAGGTTCCACCTCCATATGAGGAAGAACTTCTTTCCTGTGAGGGTGACAGAGCCCTGGAACAGGCTGCCCAGAGAGGCTGTGGAGTCTCCTTCTCTGGAGATCTTCCAAACCCGCTTGGAGGGCACCCTGTGCCACGTGCTCTAGGTGACCCTGCTGGAGCAGGGGGGTTGGACTAGATGGTCTCTAGAGGTCCCTGCCAACCTCAACCATTCTGTGATTCTGTGATCCCCTTTTCTAGGCATCCTACATGTTTTAGTGAGCCTACTGCTTTGTGGGTGCAGTAATCTCTTTTTGACTTTTCTTTCTTGGATTTGTGAGAACGTTTAGAAACGAGAGCTGCCTTTACTTCAGTAGTAAATACTCCTGTGATTCTGGCTAGGTCACTGTCACTCAATTTACCCTTTCACTAGGATACACAGTTTGATAACCTTAACTATTAAAAAAGCTTTTGCAGCTGATCCTTATCTCATGGTTTTCCTCTTGATCTTTCTTTCTTTTAAAAGTAGCTTTTAGTTTCTGTAACTAGCAAATTCAACACCTTACCACACAGCAGATATTTCAGCACCATTCTTTAAAAAACGGAGCCTGAGTTTAAAATTTGTTCTAGAGGAATTAACTTTGACAGAGTCAAACATAAAAAGTAATGAATTAAGCAAAATGCAGAGTAGATGACACTGTACCTTATTACAAGGTAGATTTAATGTAGACGTATGCTTTACTGTGATACAGTATTTAATTTTACTGTGATAGGGTAATTTAACATAGTAATTTAATTTAATTACCGTCTTCTATGGACCACCACAATAAAATAATCTGTATCACCACCAAGAGCAAGCCAGAAGAAACCCCATAAGGTAGAAAACCTGCATGAGAGGTTTTGGATTCATGTCATATTAAGAAAATTCCTCCCCAAGATGAGCTGCAGAGGCCCCTGGTAAACACATGAAATCAAAGAAACAAAACTGCTCATAAAATTAAGGTGTGATCCACTTAACAACAGGACGGTCAAGTGGCATGAAGAAAACTCAAGGCTGCAAATTACTTCTTCTCATGCTAACAGGTTACTCTTCCAAGAATTTTCCCTACCAGTTTGTTTGGAAGATGCAATGTATTTCCACTGCAAAAGTAATTTATGAAGAAGAAAAAGGGTAAGCCACCAACTGAAAGAAAACATTTATTGAATCAAAGTCAATACTTTCCTTTTAATATCTACAAGCCAACACTGAACTGACTTTATTCAAGAATGAACAAAATGTACAAAAAAAGTATGTCTGTTATAAAAATATGTCAAATTTTCTTTTTCTGGCTAGTGAGCTGAAGACATTTTGACAAAGGCGAGATAGTTTCAGCTAGCGGATTTCAGCTGCAGTTAGCGATGACAAAGCTGAGATCATTTCGCAGTCACAGTAGGTTTAAGACTCACTGACAAGGCGGCACGGGAACGCTGACCCCTTGCAAAGCGGAGAGCCCACGGCCGC